AGCTACCTGGGAGGCTGAGCAGGTAGAATGGTTGAGTCCAGGAGGTTGAGGTTCCAGTGAGCCACGTTCACACCACTGCACACTTACCTGTGTGAGAGAGTGAGACCCTGTCTCTAAAAAAACCAAAAATTAAAATTTTAAATCATCTTTCTAATTTTATCATATGTACATCAAGGAAAAAGTTGTACCTTATTTCCCATAGTCACTAGAAGAAATTCTGTGTTAAAGAGTCTGTAAAGATTGGATAAGTGAACAGACATTAATTCTCAAGAAACAATATTTTTTTTTTTACTATGTAATCTTACATATGATTTTAATATTCATTGTGATTGACCTTTATTATATAAAACTCTATTATATTTAAAACACTCTGATAGTAATGCCTTTAAATCATTCAAATTGTATACAAATGTTTCTTATATTTGCTTAGTAGTTGAAATATTTTCCAGTGCACCTTATTTTTATTTTATTTTATTATTATTTTTTTAATTATACTTTAAGTTCTAGAGTACATGTGCACAACATGCAGGTTTGTTACATATGTATACATGTGCCAAGTTGGTGTGCTACACCCATTAGCTCATCATTTACATCAGGTGTATCTCCTAATGCTATCCCTCCCCGCTGACCTGTCCCCACAATAGGCCCTCTTATGTGATGTTCCCCTTCCTGTGTCCAAGTGATCTCGTTGTTCAATTCTCCCCTATCAGTGAGAATATGCAGTGTTTGGTTTTCTGTTCTTGCGATAGTTTGCTGAGAATGATGGTTTCCAGCTGCACCCACGTCCCTACAAAGAACACGAGCTCATCCTTTTATAAGGCTGCATAGTATTTCATGGTGTATATGTGCCACATTTTCTTAATCCAGTCTGTCACTGATGGACATTTGGGTTGATTCCAAGTCTTTGCTATTGTGAATAGGCCACAAAAAACATACATGTGCGTGTGTCTTTAGAGCAGCATGATTTATAATCCTGTGGGTATATACTCAGTAATGGGATGGCTGGGTCAAATGGTATTTCTAGTCTAGATTCTTGAGGAATTGCCACACTGTTTTCCACAATGGTTGAACTAATTACAGTCCCATCAACAGTGACAAGTTGTCCCTATTTCTCCATATCTCTCAAGTACTTGTTGTTTCCTGACTTTTTTAATGATTGCCATTCTAACTGGGTGAGATGGTTATCTCATTGTGGTTTTGATGCATTTCTCTGATGGTGAGTGATGATGAGCATTTTTTCATGTGTCTGTTGCCTGTATGAATGTCCTTCTTTTGAGAAGTGTCTGTTCATATCCTTTGCCACTTTTGTTGGGGCTGTTTGGTTTTGTCTTGTAAATTTGTTTGAGTTCTTTGTAGGTTCTGGATATTAGCCCTTTGTCAGATGAGTAGATTGCAAAAATGTTCTCCCATTCTGTAGGTTGCCTGTTCACTCTGATGGTAGTTTCTTTTGCTATGCAGAAGCTTTTTAGTTTAATTAGATCCCGTTTGTCAATTTTGCCTTTTGTTGTCATTGCTTTTGGCGTTTTAGACATGAAGTCCTTACCCATGCCCATGTCCTCAATGGTATTCCCTAGGTTTTCTTCTAGGGTTTTTATGGTTTTAGGTCTAACATTTAAGTCTCTAATGCATCTTGAATTAATTTTCATATAAGGAGTAAGGAAAGGATCCAGTTTCAGCTTTCTACATATGACTAGCCAATTTTCCCATCACCATTTATTAAATAGGGAATCAGGTTTGTCAAAGATCAGATGGCTGTAGATGTGTGGTATTATTTCTGAGGGCTCTGTTCTGTTCCATTGGTCTATATCTCTGTTTTCATACCAGTACCATGCTGTTTTGGTTACTGTAGCCTTTTAGTAGAGTTTGAATATATAGCATCAGGTAGCATGATGCCTCCAGGTTTGTTCTTTTGGCTTAAGATTGTCTTGGCAATGTGGGCTCTTTTTTTGGTTCCACATGAATTTTAAAGCAGTTTTTTTTCCAATTCTGTGAAGAAAGTCATTGGTAGCTTAATAGGGATGGCATTGAATCTATAAATTACCTTGGGTAGTATGGTCATTTCACAATATTGATTCTTCCTATCCATGAGAATGGTATGTTATGTTCTTCCATTTGTTTATGTCCTCCTTTATTCCACTAAGCAGTGGCTTGTAGTTCCCCTTGAAGAGGTCCTTCACATCCCTTGTAAGCAGCACACAATTAAACAGGAAAATAAAGTATCCTGGTTGCCTAGCTTATGTCATAAGTTTAAACCATAATTATATTATTATTATTTCACAATTTTTCCCCTCATTATGTTAGACATTTCTAAGAATTGATTTCAATGAGAAATATTTGCAAGATTTCTCAGATAAATCACAATACTGGAATTAATTTCCCACAACTTTGTCACATATAACATATTAGACACATGTTTAGATTTTATTTGTTCCACTTGGTCCATATGTTACACTGAAGTTTGATGTATTTGTGGAGAATATAGAAAAAAAAATTATACTCCTTATTTTAAGAAGCTTTATGGTAAAAATAAATGTATCATTATATCTACTTATCTTCTAATATGATAATTTTGTTTGGAATCCATTTGTTGCAATTAATTTTTAAGCTTTTATGTTTCACATATTTTTCATCTTTCATTTGAAGGAGTGTGTAGGTGTAATATTACTGCAAGTTACATAGATCTCTGGGAAGACAATATTTTACAAAACTTCAGTCACTTAAAAACATACGAATCTATGGAGAGACCATAAACAAAAAATGCTCTAAAAGGGTTTGAACTATAAGTTTTTATATGAAGGATGTTTATATTTGACATTCACTTCAGAAAGAGGAGATAGGAAGATTTAAACAGCCAGCATGCCAAAACTAGTTTTTCCTGAAATGGCTTTTACCACGTTCACATCTGGTTCATCTAATTAAGTTTGCAACTGTCATACCTTCAGCATTCACATTTTATAGGAGTGCACTTATCAACACAGTCAGAACAGGGAGTCTTTTATTTTTTTAAATGATAACAATATATAACTCTTAGTATTTTACTTTGGTGGTTGTTCTATTTGCTTTATTTTATGTTTTACATTTTTCTAATGTTTTACATTTCTTCTATTTTATGTTCTAACATTTTTCTTCTTATTTATTTGGATGTAGAATCTCTGGCTAGAGTCTCTTATTTCTTGATTGTAATTCTAATTTCAATGTTCATGTACCCTGTGAGTGTGATTTGTCTCAGCATGGAATATCATGCTTATTTCAAAGAAGACTCCCTTCATATTTCTTGCAAGACTTGCAGTGTTTCCAAGAATCTGCTAAGCAGGGAATAGCACTTTATAGAGGCCCTATGTTTTGCTGCTTCATCTGACAATTTCTGTGTTTACACAGAGTGGCATGCAGATGGAGAATATAAATATTCCATGAACTTGGGCCGAGTTTTCTAGTCTTTTCTTGTTTCATAAGTAAAAACTCAAATGACATTCAAATACCTCTAAAACATTAGATAAACTGGAGATTAGTTTATCTCCAGTTGATGCAGGCACAAAAATTGTTTAAACATAAAACAAATTAGAAAATTCCAGTGAAGACATTATAGTGTAAAAGCATCCATTCGTGATAATTGATATTATTTTTTAATATAAACTTGACTAATGTTTCAAAATAAAAAAAGTTAAGGTATACAAGAGTCAGTGAGAATGCCAAAAGAAATTATTTAAAGAGTCATAAACAGACATTACTTTATAAAGACAGATGTTACTGTTTTATAAATACTCTCATGATTGGTGTCATAGTCAAAGTCTCTAGAATCTTAATATGGTGCTGTTCCAATATTTCTGGGCTGATTACTTGAATAAGATACTTGAAACCTTTTTCTTAACAATGCCTCATTCTAAACAGATCTTTTGTAGACATATATTTGTCTATATGAGCCCAATCTTTTCACCAGCATAATGATTATAATTGTTTTAAAGTGTTCATGAGTTTTAGCTATAATTAAATTAGATGATACAAATATAAGTGCACTGAAGTGAATAAACATAATTAGATGGATGGATAGATGATAGATAGAAAGATGTTATTGCTGTTGTTATTACTATGGCCTTCTAAAGGTTTATTCTTCAAACTTTTCAAGTTACTGGTGCTGGGAATAAGTAAAAAATGGCTACTCAATAAAATTTTCAACCAAACACAGTATAAGTAGTGTACATCTAGCAGATTACCCACAGTCTTCCTCTCTCCCTTTTTGAAGGAGACCTGTCCTTTCTCTTAATCTGTAATACATGAGACTTACTGGCAACACCTCAGGGCACAGTTCAATAGTTGAGGTAGAGACACTTGCTTAATCAAAAGCTCCTCTCCTGGAATTGAAATTTAAAAAGCAAATGAGGGAGAGAAAGAGAGAGATAGGATTCTGTTTCCCAGAGGTATTTAGATGCCATGCTTCTCACCTTGTGGACCTATTAGTTCAAAGGAAGCCTTTTAGCAGAGACAGATAATGAAACAACAGAAGAGGTGGACAAAGAGATTCAGAGAGACTTATATCTGTGTATGTGTTCCCAGAACCTATTCATTCACAATGCCCCACCTCACTTCCCTTGTCTTCCATGACACATTCTTGAATCTTTGATTACAAGTTGAATTCTGTTTTTAAGGTAGGTAAAATTAATTTTTCAACTTATAACCAAGAATTCTAATGTAGAAAATAAATAGTAACAACTGGTTCCCTCTATGTTTGTTAGGGCTCCAGCAATAACATACCACACCCTGGGTGGCCTAAGTAACAGAAATTTATTGCATTTTCAACACTAACCAGACTGCTACATCAAGGTCAAAGTCTTGACTGCTTGAATGGAAAAGAATGGCAAACAAAATCTCTGGATGGGGTTGTCTGAAATCAGTACCCTTTACAATCTTGAAATCTCGGTCCTGCTGAGATATATAGGTCTGCAAAAGAAGCCCCCTCCTTTTTTTTTCCTTTTAAAAGCTACTTCCCCTTCTTGCTTATACAGGTTGCAGAAGCTTCTGCTATGCAATGCGTACACCTCTCCGGATCTATTTTCACCATCCTCCCCTGCCACCAGATCAATAATTAACATCAGGTAACAACACATGTAGGAATTTTGGAGTTATTAGAAAATAGCATTTCAGAAGCAAGATAGAGTGACATCCAACTGTAATATTTCTCAATCCTTAGAAACACAGGTTTAAATGTGATAATACAAGGATTTATCATCAGGGTCTGATGGTAATCTCCTGAATAACAAGTAATGACCTCTTGCCCAGTTGTCAAACCTGAGTCAGTTATTAGAACTACATCAAAGGGAGGGTAGGACCTTCTAACACCACAGGAATTATTTGAAGTAAATATTTTAACGGTCATTCATCAAAGAGACTCATGGCTATTTACTCTGGTACCTCTAATGTAATAAAAGGTAAATATCTAACCATTTTCAGAATATTTGGCACAGAATCTGAGATGTCATTGATATCCAGGCACATATTACCATAGACCTTCTTTTATAGTGAAGACATACAAGATCAAGTAATAAATGGAATCCTGCTTTATATCTGGCTTACAAATGAGTCTGTTAGTCTGCTCACACCATTTTTCTAGTTCCTAAATAGATAATTGGAATGGATATATTTGTTAGTTGACAGAGACCACACATTGCTTAGTTCCTTGGTCCATAAGGTAAGAGTTATCACAGCATAGAAAGCCAAATGAAAACTTCTAAGACACTTTTCCTATCCCAATCTCTACATGCGTACATATAGCCTGCAGAAAATTAGTAAATAAAATACAATGTCACCTCCCTGGTAGAAGAGCATAGATTAATACCACCTTTAAAAACCTGAAAGAACCAGGAGTAGTTACACCTATCTCATCCAAATTTATTTAATAGTCTTATACCTGCAAAAACTAGGTATAAGGATTCCAGTAGGTTAATTCAGATAATTAGCAGCCCAAAGTTAGCTATGGTGTCAGAGATGAGAAGATTTACTCATAGATGATTAACACAGCCTTCAATATAATGCTCGTACCTTTGAACTGCCAAATGAACTTTTCCAATCCTAATCAAAAAGAAGGACCAGAAACAATTTGTATGCATAGGATAAGAGCAAAAACAAATGTTTTCTGCCTTACCCTAGGGCTATATGAACTCTCTTGACTGCTATAATAATATAGTCCTAAGGAATTTGAACCAGCTGAACATTATATATAATATAATTTTTGCATACTGAACTATCAAGTATACTTATACTTGGAGTTCCAGAAGAATAATAGAAAGAGAGCAGGCCAAAAGAAATATTAGAATAATATGGTCTAAGAATTTTACAAATTAATAATGGCACCAAAGCACAGATCCATGAATCCCAGAAAAGAAATATTCAGAAATAAAAGACACTAAACTATTGATATGTACACTAACAGGGATTATATTTTATAAGAAAAAAAGTAGTGTCAAAAATCACTAAGCTATTCCATATAACTTTTGTATATATGACTTTTGTGAAATACAAAAACTATAGTTTTTGAGATTAGATCAGTTAATTTTTGGATTAAGGATGAGGAAACAGGTTAACTACAAAGGAGCAACACAAGATCATATTTTCAGGTAATTAAACTGTTATGTACCATGATTTTGGTGGTAGATATATGAGTACATTTGTCAAAATTGGTACAATTATACATCACAAATAAGGAATTTTATTGTTTCCAAATTTAAAACAATAAATTTTAAAATTATAGTGTCCATTGCTTTGCATTCTATTTCTGTTTCTAAAGTATGTGTGTATATATATTACATATATATGTATATTTCTTCTTTACTCAGTCCATGTCTTTGATTCATTCAAAATTTATATTTTTAGTAATGAAGAGTTAATGATGAATTTATCAAAGAGGTGGGGAAATATAGAAACATTTAAAATATCTTTAGAAATTTAGTGAAAGTGTTGATAGTAGCAAATGCTTTAGCATCCAGTTGCTAATGTCATGTACCCTTTTTTAAAAACAATGTTTATAAAGTGACAGGTAAAAGGAAGAGTTCTCATGTTCATGGATGTTTACCATTTTGAAATAGTTTTCTATGTTTCAGGACATTCCTATGTTATGTATTTATTTTCCTCCATAGAGAAATCAAAATACTCCAGTTGTGGACCATTCTTTTATCTGAGGTACGTGAATATTATCTAGGCTCTAATCTCATTAAACATATCTATGAAACAGGAAAAATTGGAAGTTAAGTAGACAAAATTTGGACAAATCTGTCAGGTTTTTTATGGCAGAGTATTGGAAATGAAAATGATACAAAATCCACAATAGTTATAAGGTTGATACTTTTTATAAAATTATGTTCTACAGTTTAATATTACTTTAAGAAATTAAAATTGTAGATTATAAAATTAAAACATGAAAAGAATCAGTCTTCCAGATGGTAGAATGTTTTAAGAAAAATTATCTCTTGGTTCAGCTCTTTTGCCATTTTAATGACCTCACTACATATTTACACTAAAGTAATATTGTTTAATACACTGTTTCCCTATATAAGACTCTGCTGAAATATCAGATAACAGAGTTTAGAGTCAGATTGCTCTTTAACAGATCATCAGGAAACCAAAAGCATTGTTTGAATAATATATATAGATTTTATTTGTGTTATATATATAAGTTTAAAAAGCCAAAATAGAATTTATTTATGGTAGTAATCTTTACCCCTTTCTCTCTTTCCTTCTTTCAACTCTGTTTCTGAAAGTTTATCTATATGTCACTGTCAGAGAAATAATTCCTGAAAATATCTCTAGAGATTAAGTAAAATAATTATTCATTAGAACATTGTTTTGTTTCATTTTTCAATGACTGGCATGGAAATTGGAGATCATAACACAACCCATTATGTATGGATGGCAAAGATAATAAAATAGAACATTTAGTAGAGTTCCCTAAAATTGTGAGGTATATTTACTTGAAAGAGGTATGTGTTTAAATACAAAAAATAATCTAACATCATAAATGGAGAAATTGTGCTGCCACAACTGAACAGATATATTTTTCTTCCACTTTTTAGGTAAAATTCCCATGGGGAATAAAGTAGAAGGGATTTGATTTCTAGATCAGATTCCTCTGTTTAGTAGTTTTGGTGATTTACCCTAATGTGATCTTCCCACTTAGTAGAGAATCTGGAGATGAGACAATAGGGAAGCAGCAAAGGAATTTAAAGCAGCTTGGCTATCAGTAGGGAGTGTTTCTATCTCCCTGGGAGCAGTCGCAATTATTTGAAATGCTATTGAGCAAATGCTGTGATTTGCTCTAATTCTTGTCTTCCCCACCACTACAGATCCCTCCTCTTTTTGGTTGAAAAACTAACAACAACGACGAAAAGAGTATCTTTTTTAAAAAAGTGAGTATTTTTTCAGCTTTAGAGGGTATATTTACCCATGAAAGCTTCTTTTGGCCTAACATGCATTTATGGTGATGTGTTATTAAAAAAGGGAAGTGTTGCCTCTTCCAGTTGTTAAAATCCCTTTTTCTATCTCGATAGACTAGGAATTTAGATTTACAGAGTGCCAATAGAAGCCCAGGTTTCTATCATAGACAACTATCTTAACCGCACTAATCAAATTCAAGAATGGTGCTAAATACTACAAAGCTTCCATATGTAACCATTCAATCTGAATTCTAACAGTAAGTATACAAACATAAATATTTGATAATTTGAATTGTATTATATATGCTGGCAATATTTACACAGATATCCAGGATGTGCACCAAGAAAATCTGAGCAATTTAGATGTCCCATTTCTTCTCAATTCCTATAGGAGGTAAAAGAGAATGGGGTAGCTTGAATTGTTTTCTTGCTACTTAGGTTAGACAAAGAAGGCTCTCTTTAGTGACAAATTTCTTTCTTAATCTCTTTGAAACCAGTCTTTTGGAAGACTAGAAAAATATGCTATGAAAAATATTAATAACAACAAACTCATCAAAACAATCTTGAAAACACCAAGGGAACACAGAAGTTCAAACTTACCGCCTTTGAAAAGGTGAGCGTGTATGACACAGTTCTATCAATCTTTGTTTTATAACAATATTGTCACCTTATTGATTTCAGTTATCTGATACGTATGTTCTTAAAAAAGGTATTAATATTACTTTTTAATATAGAAGGCACTGGAGTTCTTCACTGGTACAAATTAAACTTTAAAATAAAAGTCAATAAATACACAATAACTGGTTTGTACTTTCAAACTTTAAGACTTTAGTATAATTGAAAATGTGATTACTGCTGATAAATACCTGCAAAAATCCCAATTCAAAGGCAACAAGTTCTTTTGCTAAAAAATAGAGTATGAAGGATCAACTTACTGGAAATATTAAACAGAGGGATGTTTCTTTGATTTCCAAACAACTCATTTATATTAGATGTGTTTCTTACATCATTTAATGGCACAAGTGTACTTCTGCATTGTTTGCAATAGCTACCTGATTTATCACTTCATTGAAGTTTTATTAAAAGGTTCAGTTTGATGTATTTTATCTTTCTACACTCACATAAAAAGGACTTAGAAGTTCAAAATAATTCAGCACTGGGGAAAATAATAAGAGAAAATTGCACTGGATTTGGAGGTCTTTCTAGAGATTAAAAAAAAAAAAAAAAAAAAAAGACTAATAGCCAGTCAGCAAATGTGAACTGAAAAGAAAATGCTAAAGCAGAAACTAAGCAATAAATGTTTCTGCAGTTGTTTGGACAAGTGCATAAAAATGACAAGAAATACTATAGAACCTGTACAATGACAATGAAAATTATTTGGAACATTTGTGTGTACATATACATGTACATGTATTCATGTTTAAAATGTTGAAACATAACACAATTTTTTGATATATACATCCTCAAATATGCTAACCCTCTAATTATTGAGGATTTTCAGGTTACATTAACAGCAAAATTTATCACTTTAAAATATTGTCTCTTAGGCACTGTTAAAATATAGCAGTATATTTTGTTGTAATGGAATTAGAAGACCTCATTGAAACATTTTTCTTCTATATCCTAGTGTGTATATTTTTTTCTAGAGAGAAACAGAAGATCATGGTTCCTATTTTTTTGTTTGTTTGTTTGTTTGTTTTTAATATCCAGTAGTACAGAGAACACGGGTGATAATTTGACGTCTCAATGATGAGTCTATAAAGAGGCTACAGAGAAAAACAAAACAAGAAAGTCATCACAATTTTGTCATTAAAGATAAATATAATAAATTGCTTATTATTTCAATAAGATACAAGAAGAAATTTTACAAGTTTTAGTTCATTGTAAAGATGATAATGTAAGAATTAAGGTTCTTCATCAGAAACAGGTCAGCAGCTGTGAGATAGGTGATTAAATAAGAGCTTTGTCTTGTAGATTATATGTCCAGGTTACCTTTCAGACTTCTCTACAGCAAAAAACTGGAAGAAGACAGAAACATGTTTAAAGTTTATGGAATACATCTGGAGAATTAAGATCTCCCCCTTCACTTTCTCTCTTTCCTTCTCTATTTCTCTCACATGCTCTGTTTTTAATCATTGTTATTATTATACTTTAAGTTCTGGAATACATGTGCAGAATGTGCAGCTTTGTTACATAGATATAAATGTGCCATGGTCATTTGCTGCACCCATAAACCCATCATGTAGGTTTTAAGCCCCGCATGCATTAGGTATTTGTTCTAATGCTCTTTCTCCCCTTGTACCCTACCCCCTGATAGGCCCCGATGTGTGATGTTCCTCTCCCTGTGTCCATGTGTTCTCATTGTTCAGAATAAAATATCTAAAAATACAACTTATAAGGGACATAAAGGACTTCTTCAAGGGGAACTACAGACCACTACTCAAGGAAATAAGAGAGGACACAAACAAATAGAAAAACGTTCCATGCTCATGGATAGGAATAATCAATATCATAAAAATGGCCATACTGGCCCAAGTAACTTATAGATTCACTGCTATTCCCATCAAACTACCATTGACTTTCCTCACATAATTAGAATAAACTACTTTACATTTCATATGGATCTAAAATGAGCCCATATAGCAAAGACAATCCTAAGCAAAAAGAACAAAGCTGGAGGCATCATACTACCTGATTCCAAATATACAAGCCTACAGTAACTAAAACAGCATGGTACTCGTACCAAAACAGATATATAGACCAATGGAACAGAATAGAGGTCTCAGAAATAACACCACATATCTACAACTATCTGATCTTTGACAAACCTGATAAAAATCAAGCAATGTAGAAAACATTCCCTACTCAATAAATGGTGTTGCAAAAACAGGCTAGTCATATGCAGAAAACTGAAACTTGACCCCTTCCTTAACACCTTATACAAAAATTAACTCAAGATGGATTAAAGACTTAAATGTGAGACCTAAAACCATAAAAACCCTAGAAGAAAACCTAGGTGATATCATTCAGGACATAAGCATGAGCAAAGGCTTCATGACTTAAACACCAAAAGCAATGGCAACAAAAGCCATAATTGACAAATGGGATTTAATTAAACTAAGAGCTTCTGCACAGCAAAATAAACTACCATCAGAGTGAACAGGCAACCTAGAGAATAGAAGAAAATTTTTGCAATCTATCCATCTGACAAAGGTCTAATATCCAGAATCTACAAGGAACTTAAACAAATTTACAATAAAAATCAACTCCATTGAAAAGTGGGTGAAGGATATGAACAGACACTTCTTAAAATATTTCTGCTTTTCAAGAGGTTACAGTTTCTTAAAGGTGATAAAGTCATGATCTACTTATGATTATTTTTAATGCAAAGATGTTTACGTGAGTACCGAATTCAAAGGAAGCATATAACTCTCACAGAATGAGGAATTGGGCTAGAGAGTAGGTAGCCAGTGAAAGGTCTTTAATTTTATGTTCTGATTAGGAATTTAATATAGAATCTCCATATAAACATTTAAACATTCCAGAAATGTATAAAGAAAGAAGTCTTATATAATCATATGAATCAGATATACAATGACATATTTGTAATGGCTGCTTATTCTATCCATATCTATATGTTTACTCATCTATCTATAATTCCACCTATGTATCTTCATACTCCCTTATGTATTTTTCTATAAAAACACCAAGTAGGAATCACACTGTTTATATATTTACACACTGTGTTCACCTCACAATATTATTGTGAATATTTATTTATCATGTAATATACCTTAAAGCATAATTTTCATGACAGCATGTTCAATCTTATTTATGTAATTTATAAATTTTTTCGTGTTGAATATTAAATTATCTATCTATATTATGATTAAGTTCCTTATAACAACTTTCTTGCCTATAACTCTAATTATCAATGAAAAATAAATTACCAGAAATAGAATTGTTCTTGAAATGCCTTGCCTAATCACACTATTGAAACTTTAAACCACTTTCTTCCCCTATCTGCAGTATATGTATATACCAAAGAATAACTAAAAAAAAAAAAAAAAAAAAACATGTGCAGTACTACACATCTCATTAACCCTGGCCTTTTCACATTTATATCTCTGTTATTTAGCAGAGTGCCTTGAACACAGCAAAAGTTTAACAAATGTTTGTTTTATTAGGTGGTTTCTTTAATTTAAATCTCTATTTTGGAGATGGTATAGCTAAGTGGTATTTATTCTAATAATTTTATTGAAAATTCTTCCATTTAACAATATTGTTATAAATTGGTTATAAAAACTGACTGATTTTTATTTATCAATAAGTAATTCTGCCTTATTTCTTGAGGAATGTAAAACTTAATATTATGCTAACTCATAATTGAGTTATGATTGAGCTGATTTTGACAGCTGTCTAAAATAGTACAGTTTAATTTAGTTGACTACATGACATTGGGATGTTCATGAGAATACATGCTTTTGAAGCTGCTTGAAAATATATATATATGTGTGTGTATATATATATATATAAAAGAGGTGTAAAATCTGGTTAATTATGTGTGTGTATATATCCACTTAGAAATACACATGTAATGCATTTTTTCAGGACATTTCACATTTTAAAGATCTGATTTACTGTCTTCTCATAAAAGAATGAGAAGAACTTCCTAAGAGGGTGACAGGCCTCTTGCCTGAGAAAAAGTAGTCAGAGGTGAGTTGTAGTTGCTTTTTATAGGAAATACCCTCTGTGTTCAGTATTGCTCATTTTATTTATATAGTTGAACCATGTACACTTTAAAATTAGAGTTTCCTAAACTATATAATGTTAAAACAACTAATGTTGCAGTTTAAATTTTTTTTTTTTTTTTTAAAGCAAAATCAAGAAGATTGCTTGGTTTTTTGTTTTTGCTTTTTTTTTTTTTTTTTGGTTTTCTTTTTTTTTTTTTTTTTTTTTTTTTTTTCCAGTTTTTTTTTTTTTTCCCGGGGGGGGCAGGGGCACAATCTCAGCTCACTGTAACCTCTGCCTCCCAGTTTCAAGAGATTCTCTTGCCTCAGCCTCCTGAGTAACTGGGACTAGAGGTGTGCACCACCATGCTCAGCTAATTTTTGTATTTTCAGTAGAGATGGGGTTTCATCATTTGGCCAAAATGATCTCCATCTCTTGACCTTATGATTTGCCTACCTCGACCTCCCAAAGTGCTGGGATTACATGCGTGAGCCACGGGCCTCTTGATTGGTTCTTTTATTGTCTCTGAGTCACAGAGATTTGCTCTCTAAATTAAAAAAAACTTTTGACTTGATGCTTTAATGTGCATTCTCTGTTGTTTATATTCCTATCTTCCTTATTTCATGTTATTTCAGTAATATCCAAAGCCAATGTGACATTATTCAATTAAAGTATATTTGAGCACTAGTAAAAATAGTTATTATAATTATTCTCTAATACTGTAATATAATATTTATAGTTTTATCTTCAATATCATTAATCCTCACTTTGTCATGAATCCCTCACCTACGATTGAAAGATGTCAGTTGTGTTAACTCAGTATAAGATACTTTAGTTTTGTGAAGCTGAGGATAATACAAATTTGAGATTATTTCCCTTTCT